TCTTTCCCTCCCTCTAGTTCTGCCATCTGGTGCTCCACGTGTCGGTGCTAATGTCTCAGCACATGCAGTCTGGACCCGACACCGTGACCCTGGCTGTGTGGGGGACCGTCCAGGCCTGTCACAGAGAATGGCCCTGTGCCCTGGTGGCCTGACCGAGGCTGCTGGAGCTGGGTAAGGAGCCGGTGGTTTAGGAGACCAGGTCCCGGTCGCCCATGGCCGGCTTTTGCTTTTGCGGCTCTCTTGGGGTGCAGAGGTCTTCCAACCCAGGTCTTAACAGAAGCGGAGCAGCATGTGTGACGCAGAGGCCACCGAGTCTTCATAACTGGGCACCAGGTGGCCTTGCCAGACCTCTGCCTCTGCCCCCCCTTCTGGGGGCTGCCCAAGATGCCCCATGCTGTTTACGAGCCTGGCGAGGTTCTCCACTTTCGTAGAGTTAAAGATAATCACCCCCCTTTGGGGTCTAAAGGTGCAGCAGCTGAGATCCGGGGCGAGGCGGGGAGTAGGGGAAGGCATTGAGGGCAGCAGAGCCGGTCCCGCCCCCACAGTCTCACGGGCCACCTTCTCTCCTGGGCCTCGGGCTCTAGCACAGTCCTGACCCGGCCAGGTGCAGCCTGCAATGTTGCGTGGATGCCTACTCTGCACTCCCACCCCTCCTGGTTGCCCAGGCCCTGCCTGACCAGCCAGCTGGTCCCACAAGCAGTCAGTCTCCCGGTGCTGGGTGGGAGGGGAGGGCGCCACACAGGCTCTGCACAGGGCTTCACCCCGCCCACTCGCCCACTTGTGCCGTGCCGTGCCGTGCCGGTCCTTCCTGCCCAACCCACCTGGTGACCTGGCGAGCCACGAACTGCCCCAGGAGGTTCCTCCAGGGCTCCCACGTGCATGCTTTAGCTTCTCTACCTGTCAAACAGGAAGAGAAAGCCCCTCTGAGCTCTCCCACAGCAGGCCGGAGTCTGGCTGAGGCTCCAGGAAGGTCGTGCTGGTGAAATCGGAGCGCCCGAGGCCGACAGCACAGCGCTGCTGATGGAGACAAAGAGGCCCTGCTTCCTGGAAGGTGCGTGAGCAGCTGGCGCTGAGGGCCAGGTCAGGCGGCGCTACCCGCTACCCCGTCTGGCTTCTGCGTTTTACTGGAACCCTTAGGCAGGAAGCCTTCCCTGAAACAATAAAAAGATAATGTACTCCACCTGCTTTGTCTCTCCGTGCCTTTTCATGACGCTCTCCACCCCCAGAACCCAGAGCCCCCTTCCTCTGAGAGGTTGCACGTTCTTGGCTGTCGGCCTCTCGCTGCCGTTCCCTTTTCCTTTTGATAATGGACTGTTAGCGTCAATTCAGCGGAGCCTCCGGGCCCTGCTCTGTAATTCCCCATTTCACGGTACGGATGAATGTGCTCACAGACTGAGCCGAGCAGTGTGCGAGCCTGTTAGACTGCAGGGTTTTCCAGGTCAGCTTCAGGCCCGGCACTCATTAGTGGCCGTCCTGGGTCAGTGGCAGCCACGTTGACTGGGCAGGTGGAGCGGAAGCTGACGCCTGACATCACCCAGCCTCGGGGCCAAGCACGGTCCCCGCCTCATCAGACTCCTCTGGTCACTTCCCCATTTTCCGAAGTCCAATATTTTCCTAACTGAGCCGGCTCCAGGGGTTCATTGCCGCTGTAAGGGTGTCCCGGATTCGTTTGAATCAGGAATGGTGAGACGCACAGGCGAGGGGTGATTGTCATGAAGGAAGCTTATCCTGCCACCTGCAGGGTCACCTGGGGAGCACCTGGGTGGGGCAGGAGGCAGGGGGAGAAGGCAGGGTGTGGCTAGAGCCCTTGCTGTGGTTTCTGTAGGAAGGAAGGGAAGAGAGGCAGGGCCAACAAGCTTGGGGTGGACTTGTTTGAGTGATTTCAGGGCTTGGGGACAAGGGGTTGTCCCTCGGTGTCTAGTACCTGTTCCTGGGGTAGTTACTGCAGGGCATAGTGGCCCAGAGTGTGAGCGCCCCATGGTTTACACAGCAGAGGTCTACACTGCAGGAGTGTCACTCCTACAGGGGGTTGAGGGATGAGCTCTAGACTGGCCGTTTCCACTTGACAGGTGTGCTCAGGTGCTAACCATTGACCGCCCGTGGACAGAGGGCAGCCCTGGGGCAGTCGCCAAGGCCTGGGTAGCAAAGTCTCACACCGCAGGAGAAAAGACCATGATGAACGCACTTGTGGCTTATCTCGGTTGGGTCGTTTGACGACGTCTGCGTATCATCCCTGCACAGCTCTTCTCATCTCCCCCTGCACCTCCCTAAGCTGTCCAAGGCCGGTCCAGATTTACCGGGGCCCCAACTGGCTCTCCCATTTCCTCCTGTGCTACTCCCAAGCTGTCAACAAAGCAGTGCATTCTTTCTTTCTGTCCTCTCTTTCGTCTCCCCCTCCCTCTCTTCTTTCTTTTTTTGATGGCCAGAGGGCTCATCCGCTCATTAGAGAGACAGAGAGAGAGAGAAAGTGAGAGAGCGCGAGCACTCCCAAGGGGAGTATAGTCACACTGCGAGCTCTTCTGTATTTCTCCATCCTGCCAGGATTCTGGGCATGCTTGCACATATGTCTGATGTGATTATCAAGTTCCCGCGGCCAGGATTTGAACCACAGTCAGCCATATGGGATCCGGCTCCCTTAACCATCAGACCACAGGGCCAACCTGAGTGATCTTCCTACAGTGCGAGCTGGTTCATGTAACAGCCCTGCTCAAAGTCCTCAACCGTTTTCCATCGCCTTTGGGATATCTCAGCATTCTTAATTTGGGGGACATCTTTCATCTTTCCTGACATCTCAACAGAAATAATACTGCTTGGCTTCCATAAAGTCAAGAGGTCCGTCGCCTCATTTCTTGACGTTTCTTGCAGGCAGAACCAGAGTCAACGACAGAAACATCTTGTCTCCTGCTACATCGCAGGGAGGGTCCTCCTCCCACTGGGCCTGTCCTCCCTCCGCCACGCTGTCCTCCTCCTCTTTTCCCTCTTCCTTCTCCTGCTCTTGTCTTTTATTTTCAGCCAAACTCTGCTCACTCTCCAACCCTTGGCCAGACTTACCTTTCTGGATCTTGCCATAGGCGCCCCCTTCAGTTCCCACTCATCATTCAGCAAAAGTGTCATTCAAGTGCAAACTCCTGCAGAGCAATTGCTAAGAGTTACAAAGCCTTTCCACCGACCAACTTATGTCCCAAACTTTATACATATTATCTCTTTCAGCCTCCACAAGAACAATAGGTTTCTTTGTGACACAGACAGTGTTGTCTTCATTTTATAGACGAGACCGAGACCGCTGAGGCTGGGAGAAGTGAAGTGACTCTCTGTGTCCAGACCAGGTGCTCCCCATTCTGCACTGACCTCGCATTTATGAAGAGCAGCCATATGTGGGAGCTGGACACTGACTGTGGGCGCTGCTGGTCACCTGCTCTCACATGCCTGCCCCATGGTATTGATCAATACTGCTTTACTTTCCATTATTACACAAAGGTGCATCAGTCAGCATTTTCCAGACAGATGGGACCAAAGGGTCCCCCTGGATGTATGAGAGATCTCTCTCATGCTTGGGAGGCCTGGAAAGTTGGGAATCTGCAGGGGAGGCTGGCATGCTGAAATTCTGATTAAATGTTAATCTCATCTAAAAAATATCCTCCCAGAGACATCCAGACAGGAGGTTTGGCCAAGTATCTGGGCACCGTGACCCAGAACTGGCCGTATGGGGAGCTCTGAGTGGGAGGACGGCCCTGAGGAGAGCGGAAACACAGAGGCAATGCTGTGTTCAGGCCCGGGCTCAGCAGAGCTGATGAACAATGGCGGGATGGTTCCCGCCAGTTCTGGGGCGGTGTTATTTGTTGTTGTTGTTGTCGTTTTTTGGAAAGGTTTTTGCTATAGGGCGCGTGCGCTCACCAGAAAGACAGAGAAACAGAAAGGGAGAAATCGCCCCCCAGGGGGATGGCCATGCCGCAATCCCTTCTCCTCCAGTCTCCTCTCGGGATCTTGGGCACGCACGCACATATGCCCGGCATGAGTTTAAGTCACCGGGTCCAGGACTCGAACTGTGGTCAACTATATGGGAGTCCAGTGACATAGCCATTACACCAACTGCTGGTCCCTGGAGTGGTTTGTTGATCTGTAGACTGAGGAGACTCAGTCACAGGTGTTTTCTGCAGGCCTCAAATCGAAAAGTTACAGAGTGACTTAGGGCAGTCCTGTCCCCAGTGGCAGGTGTCAGCTGGAAGGAGGGCAAGATAGAAGTGTGGTGAGCTTGTGGGAGGTGAGACCTTGGCTGGGCTCAGCTGGACAGGGAGGCCATCCCCACATGGCCGAGTCATTAGGATACGGCAGGAAGGGAGTTAAAGGGGGGGATGACTGTGGGCCAGGGCATTCGGGGCAGGGGTGTGTGACTAGAGGGAACAGCCTGCTGGAGGAATGTGCTTCTCTCTCATGGAAGACATACATAAAAAAATGGAAAAAAAAAAAAGGAAAAATCTTTTTTTAAAAGCAATTATTTTTTAAACTTTATTTATTGATCTATTCTTATTTCAATTTGACCAGAGAGGGACAGAGAGAGAGAGAGAGAGAGAAAGTGAGAAAGCAAGCCGCCAGGTCCAGGACTCAAACTGTGGTTGGCCCTGTGGGAGTCCAGTGCCTTTAACCACCATACCACCTGCTAGCCCCAGACTGGAAAGATCCTTAAAAAATAATTCCTTAGCCTCAGACTAAGATGTGTAAAAAAAGTGAAACTCTGGTAGCAAATGTATTTGTACTTTTAAATTTTTATATTATTATTACTATTTTACCTTCAGTCACATGTGTATGTATGTGATTTGTATGTGTGTAATTACAGCATACAAAGTGAATTCTCCCAGCATGAATATACTGTACATTAGTCCAGTTCAAGATATTACCTTGCATGCTACCATCGACAGGTAATTTTCCATTTTTGTGTCCCTTAAACGTTTTGCTTCTTTTTCCCCTGGATGCCCTCTCCCCACCACCCCCCTTTTCCCGTCCTCCTCCCACACTGTCTCCAGTACCCACAGTTGTGCTCCACGCTTTTTTATACCTTCGTCATTCAGTTTCAGCCACGAAGCAATTGTGTATGCATGAGCAATTGCATTTTACAGTGGCACGGCCATCAGAAGTATTGGTAATATTGATGTGATGTCTAATCCCGGAATATAAGGTCTGCCTCGGATGGGCGCCTGACCGGGGCGCTCACAGAGCAGCAAGAACTTTCATGTTGCTGTTATGCTATTTAAGGAAACGCAGTGCAGCATTTTCTTCTCTGTATTTGCATAGGTCGTTGTTTAAAAGCATTTTTAAAAAATGTTAAGTGTTTATGTTAATCTATTGCTAGGTTAATTTGTCTGTTCATTATTATTAGTAGTAAAACAGCATATTAGGACATTTGGAAAATAAAAAATCACTCACAATCCTATCAGGCTATTACAACCTTGAGAGATGATTGACTGATTTAGGGCAGGGAAACTCTAGGCTCTTTCTGCCCATATTCTGATTAGTATTCAGACCTCTGAGATCTGAGCAGACAGTTAAGTCACACAGCATTCAAGTCCATCTAATCCTCATTTTCTCTCACATTTGGTCAGTACTATTGTGACTTAATTATTCTCTTGGACAAAGGGCCACTTAAAATGCTTCTCTTCAATTGAATATTCTGTTGTCAGTGAACTCTTTTTTTTTTTAAATTGCCTGAAGTTGGGTACTCGCCAGAGAGAGATGAAGAGAGAGAAAGGGAGAAAACACCCCCAGTGGGGCATGCTCACGCCACAATCCCTTCTCCTCCATTTCTCCATCCTGTTGGGATTTGGGGCATACACACACATGCACCTGGCATGTTTTTCAAGCTCCTGGGGTTGGAATTAGAACCATAGTCAGCCATGTGGGCTCTGCCGCCCTGACTCACTAGGTCATAGGGCCAGCCTTCCAGTGAATTTCCATTTGTATTATTATGGTTGGGTTTCCTCATCTCAGCTGTCCTGCGTCCTGCTCAGAGCCTCATTCACATGATGGCCACTGACACACGGGGGCCCAGGGTTCATGGCAGGGCAGGCTGTCCTGCGTCCTGCTCAGAGCCTCATTCACCTGATGGCCACGACACACGGGGGCCCAGGGCTCATGGCAGGCCAGTTCACGATGGAACAGATTTTTACACGAGGCCAGGACAGCTCGAAGGCCTTCTGCGTCCTGTGTTGGGAGAGCTCTCTGGGTGAAGGACGCTACCTACCGTTAAACAGCAGCACAGAGCTAACGTAACGTTGACCTGAGCTGCCTGGGACTGCGCACACACGGCTTCTGGCAAGTTCCACTCCTAACGCCTGAAGTTAAAGCCTGGTTGTAGCATGAGCTTTGAAACCACAAAACCCTCGTTCCTCATTTAGGTGGGGGTGACCTTTGTTCCCTGCAGTCCCTGTTGGGGGCTGGGCCACTAAGGGTAGTGTCACCAGCAGCCCCTGACACTTTCCGTGTGTGTAGGAGATACTTGAGCTTGCAAGGGTGTGAGGCCGCTGGTCTCTGGGTGCGACTTGGCCCTTAGTGGGAACTTGCCCCTTAGTCTCACCTTGACCTTTGTTTCCCGGAAAGAAAAGAGGTGACGCTTCCCTCATCTTTTTGTGTCCCTTCCTCCTGCCTTCGTCAGTCATTTACATCGTCTAACTGGGATTCCAAGCGGCTCCTGAGCTAACCGGAGCAGCATTTTGTAGCAGGTCGGGTGGGGATCCTCTGTGTGAAAGCCCCGCTCCCCGCATAGACTGACGTGCTTCAGGCCTTGGAAGTCACAGGGTGACATCAGACTGATGAATCTGGGAAACGCGTCCCAGATCAGTGAAGCCTTGTCCACACCTATGACTCTACGTGAAGAGCCACTCGCGTGTCCACACTTACAGGCGTGGAGCGCGTTCTCAGCTCTCAGAAAGCTGTCCGAGTATCATGAGGATTATTAAGTTTGGGAGTGGCTAAAGCAAGAAAACCATGTTATTTCAGGGGCTTTTCATTCCTTTTCAGAAATGTATTATTTCTCCCATCAGAGAGAAGCAGGCATCTCCCACAGGTTCTGGCGCCTCCATCCACCGGCCTGAGCCAGCGAGATCTGATAGCACCCGGAGGGCACACGGAGACCACAGGACACAAACCCGGAAGCTTCCCGCGTGGGTCTGGCTTCGTTTTCGCTGATGACCATCACACTGTGGCTTAGAAACAACTCAAGGCGAAACATGATACCGGGACTTGGCAATGGAGTATCGGTCCTCTCTGAGGTCACCGGACTTGGTGTTGATATAGAAAATCCAGCTGAATTATCCTGGGCTTCTCAGGGGCAGCCGTCTTTCTACCTTGCGTTATTCTAAACATTAAATACTCTAAAGAAAAGGGGGAAAAAAATAAGACATTTGGAGAGAAAGCCGCCAAATGCCTTCACAGCGATTTAGCTGAACTGGAGAAGTGGCAAGGCCAGGAGGTAGAGGGAGCTTGGTCCAGGTGGCGGAAAAGGTGTCTATTAACTAATCATCATCACAGTTCATTAAAAGGTTGCCGGAAGCCAACCTAGGCCGAAAGAGCTGTCTTTAGAATTACAGTCAGAGAAAGGGACACTGCATTCTTCTCCTTTCCCTGGGATGGCTCTTCTGGGAAAGTTGACAAAGAGGTCATTTCATCTGCTGCTTTGTCCCTCAATGACAAACATCTCTGTTCTGGAAATCTGTAAAAGAAAAGTTATAATTACCAAACATATGAAGAGATGCTCGCTCTCACTCCTCTTCTTTTTCTTTAAAGAATTACTTATTTACTTTTATTTATCATTGTTGTTATTCTAAAATTTGACCAGAGAAAGACAGAGACAGAAGGGAAAGTGAGAAAACAAGTTACCAGGTCCAGGACTTGAACTGCAGTCAGCCAGGTGAAAGTACAGTGCCCCAATTACCACACCACTGCTGACCCACTCACCCTCACTTCTAAACGAAGCCATGCAAATAGAAATATCAGGAAAGAATCATTTTATGTCCATAAACTTTATGTCCAAAAACATGATAATAGTAAAGTTGGTGGGCCAACTAGTGGTGTGGTGGTTCAGGCTGCTGGATCCTACAAAGCAGTCAGCATGGTTCGAGTCCTGGACCTGGCAGCTTGAAAAACATGCTGGGTGGATGTGTGCCCAAAATCCTAAAAGGAGAATGGAGCGGAAAGGATTGCGGTGTGGCCATCTCCCTGGGCGGTGCTTTCTCACTGTATCTCTCTCTAAGTTTGCCTCTCTGGTGAGCACATACACCCTATAGCACACACACACACACACACATACACACACACACACACACACACACACACACACACACACACCAAAAAAAAAAAAAAGAAAAGAAAAAAGAAAAAAAAGTGGGCCAGATTGGTGGTGGCAAGTGTCAAAAGTATTTATTGAAACATGAGGAGCTGCTCACCCTCAGTTCTAGTGTTGGATTGTCAGAAAAGTCATGACTCATTTTTGTAGAGAAAAACAGAAAACAATACGTCTTGGCTCTTCTGACAATCCAATAAAATTTCGGTGAACAAGTTCTACGCATCAGACACTGTGAAAGGCGAATAGAAATCGTCCACTCAGCAGTACCACTTCTAGACATTTTCTAAGGAAATAGTCTTTACTCCTACTCTATTCCAAAAACAAAAACAAAAAGCAAAAAGCCCTGCACTCAACATACATGTAAGTGAAGAGATTTTATGGGAACCTCAGTAATTAGAAATAACAGTGAAAAAGTAGAAGCCACGTAATTGCCCAGTGATACAGAGAGGTTTACTAAATGATCAAATCAGAGTCTACTCATTACATTACACTTACCAGCAGAACAGGTTATGGTTGAAATAACAAGTAATTCCAAAAATTGCTGTCACCTGACGTGCCACGACCTTATTTCCGTAATAGCTACAGGGTCATGTCAATGATCTGTTTTATACTGGATGAGCTGTGATAGCTTGTGTGTGTTCAGAAATGGGTCTGTTTCAGTGCGTTATAAGGTGTGTGCGCGAGTGGTCCGTAGTACGCCCCGCTCACCCTTTTGAAGTCTTCAGAGTTCGCAGTATCGGCTGCTTCATTCCTGATGTTGGTAATTTGCATCTTTTCTCTTTTGCCAGTCTTGTTGATGTCAGTTTTCTTTTCAGAGAGCTTTCTTTTTGTTTTATTTGTTTTCCCTGTTAATATCCTGGTTTTAACTTCATCGATTTCTGTTCTTATCTCTATTATTTCCCTTCTCCCACTGGCTTTGGGTTTATTTTGCTATTCTCCTTCTAGGTTTATAAGGTGGAAATTTAGATTCATTTGAAACTTGTTTTCTTTTTCTTTTTTTTGAAAGGTTTTCACTATAGGGTGTGTGCGCTCGCCAGACAGACAGAGAGAGACATAGAGACAGAAAGCAAGAAATCACCCCCCGGGGGGGATGGTCACGCCGCAATCCCTTCTCCTCCATTCTCCTCTAGGGATCTTGGGCACACACGCACACGTGCCCGGCGTGAGTTTTAAGCCACCAGGTCCGGGACACGAACCACGGTCGACTACATGGGAGTCCAGCGACACAGCCATTACGCTAACTGCTGGTTCCCGTTTTCTTTTTTAATATGTACATTTAGTGCTATAAAATTTCCCCCACGTGCTTCTGTAGTATTTGCCACAAATTTTGATGCGTTGTATTTTAAATTTCATTCAGTTCAGTGCATTTAATTTTTTTTCCTGAGACTGCCTCTGTGAACTGTAGATTATTTAGAAGTGTGTTGTTCAGTTTCCTGGTGCTTGGAGATTTTCCTGTTTTGTTTTTTAATTGATTTTTTTTATTAAAAAAAATCTGAAAAGTCATGAAAGGGAACCAGCAGTTAGCGTAATGGCTATGTCGCTGGACTCCCACGTAGTCGACCGCGGTTCGTGTCCCGGACCCGGTGGCTTAAAACTCACGCCGGGCGCGTGTGCGTGCGTGCCCAAGATCCCGAGAGGAGAATGGAGGAGAAGGGATTGCGGTGTGACCATCCCCCCTGGGGGGTGATTTCTCGCTTTCTGTCTCTATGTCTCTCTCTGTCTGTCTGGTGAGCGCACGCGCCCTACAGTGAAAAATCTCTCCAAAAAAAAAAAAAAGTCATGAAAAAGTTTTTCTACACAAAGATGTGACACGACTTCTCTGCTGACCCAATAGTTTGACTCCGTTGTGGTGGGGAAACATGCTCCGTGCGAGTCCTGTTCTCCCAGATGGGCTGAGGCTGGCTGTAAGTCCCAGGGTAGTCCTCGTAGCCTGATAGGAGTACAGCCACTCCTGGGTCCCTTCGGTCATCATTTGTGTGTTACGTCTTTTATATACTCTTTCCTTTCAATCCTCCTTTCTATTACAAGTGTCTTACGGGTGGCCTATATTTGAGTCATATATTTTAATCTACTTTGCCAGTTTCTCTCTCTCTTTTTAAATTTCGTCAGATGCATGCGCTTGCTGGAGAGAGACAGAAAGAGAGAGGGAGAAAGGGGGAGAGCCTCCCCACCCCATAGTCCCTCTCCATTTCTCCCTCCCTCAGGATTTTGTGTCCGGTGTGTTTTTCAAGCCCATGATATATTTTCCAGTGGCCAGATCCAGGACTCAGACTACACAGTCTTTCACACAGGATTTAGCTGCTTTCGCCACCATGGGCCCTTCCCTCTCTGCTTTTTTTTTTTTTTAAGAGAGATTTTTTTGCTATAGGGCGCATGTGCTCACGAGAGAGACAGAAAGACAGAAACTGAGAAATTACTTCCCAGAGGGACTGATCACGCAGTAACCCCTTCTCCTCCATTCTCCCCTCAGGATTTGGGGCATGCACGCACATGCACCCGGCATGAAATTTAAGCCACCGGGTCTGGGACTTGAACTATGGTTGACTACATGGGAGTCTAGCATTATAATCATTATGCCATTTGCTGACCCCCCATCTCTGTTTTTTAATTGTGTATTTGTATCATTTGTGTTTAAAATAATTATTCCTATATTAGAGCTTAAGTCTGTCATTTTATTTTTTGTTTTCTTTGCTTCTCTTTTCTCTGTTTTCTTTTTCTTTACTTCTTGTGCGCTACTTGCACATTTTTTAGAATTTATTTTGACTTATCTGGAGCGTTTTTTATGGGAAAATATGATTATTTCATCATGATAGCCGGCATGTGTACTCGCCAGAGAAAGGCAGGGAGGGAGAAAGCACCCACCGACGGGATGGTTCCTCCCCACCTCGCTCCCTTTCTCTGTCCTTTTGGCCAAGCATGCGCGTGCCCTGGCCATTTCCCCAGCCTCCAGGGCCAGCATTTGAACTGCAGTCGGCTACACTGCCTCCAGCTCTCCTAACCACTAGGCTATGGGGCCAGCCCTCCCACAGTTTTCGGAAGGCTCTCCACACACACACACACGTGCACACTGCCCAGGGCTTTCAGAACATTGAACTTCTGTTTCATCTTTCTAGAATGTGCCTACTTTTAACCTCTGGCTCTGCCTAACATCATATTTTAAGGGATTGTTGAAAATAAAATGAATTTTGATTAAATAAAAAATTTTTAAATGTTATCTAAGAAAAAAAGAAAAAAGAAACCTGAAAATGAGACAGACTGCGTCTCTGCCCTTTCGTCCTCACTGAAACAACCGGCCCCTCGAGCGCGCACAGAAAGCCTCCAAATCTCTGCTGGGCCTCTGCCCGGACGCGGCATCTGCTCAGGCAGAGCCCAGCTTCTCGGCTCTCGACGGGCCCCAGAACCAGCACACGTCTCGCGGGCTGACACAGCTGCACAACTGGGACAGCTCCGTTTGCATGGCTCCCCCTCTCTAGCATCAGTGACTCTGAAGCATGGGAGTGATTTTTAAAATTTTGTATCCAGCTTTTTACATATTTTTGGCAGGAGGGCCAGATGGCGGTGCAGCAGTGAAGCACGACGCTGAGAGGCAGACCCACGTGGGAGGTTGTGGTTCACATCCCACGACTTCCCTGAGTATGCCAAGCACATGTGTACCCCATGACCCAAGCTGGCCAAAGCCAGGAGTGGATCATGACATTGCAACTCTGCAGGGACGCTGGACCTCTGTCTCTCTTCCTGTCTCTCTCACTCATGGAATAATGAAATACGTGTTAAGCATCTTTGGTAGGAGTATTACTCTGTCCCTAGGTGTTAATTTCTCACTGCAGGTGGAAGCCACTTCTCAGAGTTCACGTGACAGCATGTACATGAGTGACTTTATGGCAAAAAGCCTTGTCTTTTGGCCAACATATTCCTAGTAACAAGGAGAGTGTTGCAGTGGGAGAATTTGTACTTTCAAGCTCAGCATTTGTAGGCTTAGAAAGCCATAGGGACGTTGCAGAGTGCAGTGGGGAGCCTGCCTCAGGGTCCGCAGGCTGCTCGATCAGCCCCTATCTCCATGGCCCTTCTGCTTAGAACCAGGGCCCTCTGGTCCTCGGCTTCCACGACCCATGCAGAGCTCCGTTTAAAACTCTGTGCCCGCCAGGCCCAGCTCCACTCCTTGCTAGCTCCATCACTTTGAAAAAGGGCCGTGGGAGACCTGCCTGTTTCTGATGCCTCATACTCTGGTCTGGGGGACTTTCGTATGTGTCATTTTCAGCCCAGAACACCCAGGCTGTGGTTAACGACCTGAGGTTTTATTGGGTGCAAGAGCACTGGGCCCCTGGACAGGGTCTTCAGTCTTTTTCTTTAGTTTGCAAGTCCTCAGCCCCTCCTGCTGTGAGCCGGGGGAGGGGGGCTGGGGAGAGGGGTAG